AACATGCTTGGAACTTGCATGCTTCTTATGGTTGGTGTCGCCAGCATCTTGGTCTGATCTACGCCGCTAGCTTCATCTTTGTTAAAGTGAAGTGTAAATGAACAATCAAGCGGGGTTTTAGCAGTCTGAGATTGGACGCGGATACACGCGATATCAAACAGCCTTGAGAGTTAGACATTACTAAGGTAAACGGGAGCAAACCTCTCAGGAGAGCTCTACGCAAAGACATGTTGTTGACGTCACCTGTTTCCATACAATATGTATCACTTTCCCTAGCTGAAGTGATGAGGTTGAGAGCCGAAGCGTTGAGCAGGGTATTAGTGGCCTGTACAAGTCGTTGAAGCCAGGTGGTCATGAAACATTCTCTTGAGAGTTTTACTCTCGAGTCTTCGATAGATACCAACTGTGCTCTTTATGTTCTCACTGCACGTATCATGAGGCGAGCAGTTGCCGGCTATACTGAGAACTATCGGTATGCACGAGAGAGACGAGTCAGATTCGCATTGTAAGCCACAGGTGCATGAGAATATGGCCTTCCACGATTCACCTGACAACAACTACTCAAACTGCCTGTGTTTGTTTTCACCTTAACGCCCAGAAAGAGTGAGGAATCTGCTAGTTCGTTCAGCGCTACCCTGACCCTACATAGTCAGTTTGGAGACGTGGCAGGTGTGATCATGATCTGTCTGAAAGCATTTATAGTAATTGAAGACTGGAAGGCTATTTCATCAGTCAAAATTGAGCTCAATTGCAAAGGTCGGTTTTACTTTGTGCTTTTTTGAATGTCATTTGACAGTCAAGCAATCTCTGAGGGATTTCTACTAGCAAGGATACAAGTGTAAACCGTGACTTAATCGTGTAGAGCTCTCTAAAAATACAAGCTATTGATATTGCATGCTCTAATCCTATGTCGCACATAAGTGGAGGAAAAGAAAAACAGAGGTGATCAGGAAGATTGCACGAGCTAGCCTTGAGAACAAGTCCAGTTCAAGTGCGATCCTTTAACCCTAATTGCTTTTCTTTGTTGTTGTTGATGAGCAAAAGGCAGTCTGTGATGCGAAGGATAGCTTACCTATTGGCTAAGTACCTACTTGATGGTGATTAAAAAAAACGAGATGAGCTTTTTGTATACTAATGTCGAGCTTCGAGTCAACATGAAAAGAGATTAGTATCTCAATTAAAACACCTTGTTTGATTAGTCAGAGCTATTGGTCTTCTCATATGTCTGCTCGATCAGGACTAGTCTAACAATGAGAACTCGGCCTTGCTTCTGCAATTGTCAATATTCACAAGATTGATTTTCAGCCAAATTTGTAAAAGCCCCATGGACTGCGAATACTTGCTAATCTTTTATCTACGATTGGTAGAACCTCTAAGTATCCATCAATGCTCTGATTATTAAACGTTTGTTCTCCAAGATTATCACAGAAATCTCAGTAACGCTTCTCCCCTTTGCGAGAGGATTCCAAAGTTGTTTACCACAATCTGGGAATCACAGATTAGTCTCTGTTTTGGTCAGCCCCCAAATGAGCATGGGTGACATCCAATCACTCCGTGTAGTATTCAAAACGAAATCTTGAGCAACACTGCTCTGTACACGAGTAGAAGCCACACACTTTTATTCCCCGTGTTGCACATGAACAAAAAGTAATGTGTCTCAACGATTACTGCATCATTACTGACCGGGGCTGTAAAAACAGGAGTTAGTAGTAACCAGCGCAGTATTTCGGGCGGAGGGAGACGCGTACTATATGAGCGAGCAAAGGTAACGACCAGTGATACACAGTGTATCTTACCAGGTGAGAGCGGTATTGTGCATAGTTTTCCAGCTGAAGTTACCACAAGTTATCTGTTTGTAGTGTTCAAACTTAGGGCATTCATCTAATCAGCAAGCGAAAGTCGCGATCAACTAAGTCTTAGGTTGCATATACATCCAGAGTTAAAATGAACGGTACCCAAAGTTATAAACAGCCAGAGGTATTTAGTGGCATTTTGCAGTGTATGTATGAGCAAGAACTTAAGACCTGAGATCCTCTGCTTCACAATCGACCATAGTTTGTGATCAGTTGTACCCAGTGCTATATACAAACCGGAGTCACACCCAATATTACACTGTGCAGCACACGGACAAGGGCAGTGTTCAACACCATCCCTGCACATCATTTGAGTGAGTCCGCTATCAATAATACTTTGTATACTAACCAAACATGTCCTGCTAACAACGACACTTCGTGTACTACCCGAAAGCTGAATACCACTAATATTAGTATCAACTTTACTTTAAATTAATTTTGCCTGCTCATCTGATATGGGTTAATGGCATAAGCTGAGAATAAGTGATTACTCTGTCATCTTATCCCAACCAAGGAGGAATAGAGGGTTTCTGCAGCAAGTGGTCTGTTGAGAAAATAGCAGTGGACGGATCTTAGTTCGACTCTGCTACTTTTTGTTTGCCGCTTGACTGAACAACAGACTGCTGATACGCGCTTTGACTACAAACCAATCACCATGAATCCTTTGCAGCTAAGATTTGTAGTTTGCCGTTGGTGGCAAATTTGAATGCCTCTGAATAAAGAAAACTTCCTTACAAACTTCCTAATCTCTCATCCAAGGGTTATTGCAGAGGGGTTATTGCAGAGAAAGTATGAAAATCATGGGAAGCGAGGATACCCTGGTAACGCCCTGCACTCTCTATCGAGACAAGGTTGAAGGCTGGGAAAATAAAGTCGTTGAGGACGTCCAATACCACGTAAAATCAATGAGAGAACGAGCACTAGAGTAAGTGAAGAACCAGAAGTTCATTGAGTATATTATTTATTTCCACGGATCAGACACGAAATTGCACAGTACACTCTCATCCATTGTGGCTGTTGACCGAACAAGGGGTATTGTCAGTAGTCAACAATGAACCTACCCTGACAATCATCCCCAGGGTTCAATCTGATCATCTCATTTCGAGTGATCAACTAAGAAAGGTTCAAAGTACAGTTGAAAACAGATAATTCTGCTCTGTAGCACAAGGAGTTGTTTGAATTGTCAGTTGGAGAGGGAAAAGGGAAATGAGAAAGAAGAATGCCTTGTGGGTAGCATGCATGACACGACAAAAGCGCACAGGCAAGTGGGAAGACATTGAGGCAGACTACATTGCATCATTCAAGAGGCAAATGAGCAAAAGAGAGCACTTAGTACTATCAAGAGAACCATAATTGAGTATACACTGTACAGTGTATTATCAAAGTCAGAACGACAAGACCATCAACACAACCACATCTTTTGAGACGGTCAAACCAGTCAGAGAGATCATGAAGAATCAGCAGTGATTGTCACCCATATAAGTACAATTCAGTAATTTTCGGTCGACAGGTCAGTCTTGACCAGATATGCCTTCCATCATCAGTATGTCAGTGCAATCAGTTCAAGGAAAAAAGATCTGTCACTCTTCGTGGTCCTCACTGAGTTTGCAAAGGGAACTATCTGAGATATGAGGATCTATGTGAAGAAGGGGAGAGAGACTCATGAGCACTCCGATTTAGTTTGGGTTACAACAGCCCGGTATGTTGAAGAGAAGGCACGAGCTTTTCAGGAGGGTGCAAAGTTGATCCGTAGCCTTGGTCCTAAGTTATACACTGACTACCCTAGGCCTCCGGTCCCTTTCTACCTCATCGATGGGTCTTACTGGGGAAATCTTATTGACTTGGCCAAGAGGTATGTTTCCCCAGCGGAGATTGACTATGAGGCAGTGACTGAACCATCAGAGTTCCGACATCTTAGACGGGGGATCCTCTCCCGGCCACATCTCCCTACCATGTGGGAGGAGTTCAGTGCTATGCTTGATTTTCAAATCTTTGGCCTTGGATGAACCTATTCGGAACTCATGGGCTTTAGGTGGCTCTATATTACTAGACCACAATCTCATGAGGTACATAAACGTGACTCAAGGCACAAGAGACGCATGGTCAAATGAGAGATTGAGGCTGAGACTTGAGAGGGAGCGTGAAGACTCTTAATGAGTGCTGATCATGTCTTTTCATCTGTATTTCCTGAGATTATTACGAGTTCTCACCTTCTCTCACCCATCTTGTTTTTGCCTTGAGTCAGTCAGCCTGATTCGTTCTCTTTGGCATTGCTTGATGTTACACTTTGTGTTGATGTTGTCTTAGTTCTCAAATTTCTAAATCAGCAGACTTGATACGTGCATGAAATATTTAATTTTAATTTTATTATTTGCATGATTGTTTGTTGTGCCGTATCATAATTAAAGATTCCTAAGATCAGGGACCGGCTTATACCCCAGTTGAAGGGTCTCGCTCGAAGCCGGACGCTTACGATAGGAAGGGATTTGCATTATTTAATTTATTTATTCATTGCAAAAACTTAACAAAATCCTGCCTGACAACTTGTTGGCGTTCAAATCACCGAGAGTGGTCTGATCGTAAAAAGTGCGACACCATGACGATTCATTTTTTTTGGCGACACACAAGGCAAGGCTCGAAAGTACTGGTGGTTTAAACTCTATACCACCAGTACATGGCCCCAGTCGACTTGACAATCACAATTGATCAATCCGAAAAGTTTGGAAGAACAGTGCTATTGGATCAAAATGGCTGGCGGCGCCAGCCAAAAGAAAACAAAAACTTCGTGCCGAGGGGGGGTTCGAGGCTCGTGAGTTTTGCCTCGGAAGTATTAGTGTTTTTTATATATAATTATTAATTTATTACTAATTTATTATTAGGGAGCAGGGCCAAGGGGCATTGCCATGCTGGCGAAACACACACACACACACACACACACACACAAGAAAAAAAAGAAATACTCGGAATGTCATGGATTCAGTCCGAGATAGTCTGCAATGCCCTTTTTCAACTTTTTGGTTGTGACTGGCAAGGTGAATTTTCTTAGGTCAGCAATTTGAAGAAAATAATTGACGTAATACAAAGCCATTAAAACTTGAAAATTTATTATAAACTTACAAAGCATAAAATTATTTTAGAAAGCAATACCTTTCCGAGGACCTCCAGTGTGATGCTGGAAGGAGCTCCGACCTTCTCAAGGCTTTTCGGTGGGCTCCCCAACAGGACAGACGTGCATGCTTCGACCGATCGAGCAACGGACTCCAGGTTGTACCCCCCCTCCAGAATGATCGCCACTTTGCCATTCGCCAATTCCAAGAGCTGCCATAGGAGAAGAATAGTAAGGAAGCAAGCACAACCTACTTTTTTTCTTTTTTTTTATAGATGCATTGAGCTCAGTTCAAATCCAGACAGTCAGGGTGTGGGTCGTAATTTTGGTCAAAGTCATGATTCAGGGGTCAAAAATCGCGACCCTAGTCCTGGAGCGGTCTCAAAAAGGTCCAAGGGTCAACGGGTACAAGGCCATGAGCCAAAATCTGTGTGCATACCCCTACGTGATACAGTTGACTCTTGGAAATTCAAGAGTCAGACCCAAACCCGGTCTCAGTTCGGATTGCAGGCTGCAACTCGGCTGCATCAAGGTGGAATCACTAGTAATCGCCGGTGAGCCATACGGCGGTGAATCCCTTTCCGGGCCTTGTACACACTGCTCGTCACACACGGGACAAGCAGGCCTGGGTCAATTGGGACATCCGTCAAAATTGGAACGATACAGAGAAGATTACCATGGGCCCTGCGCAAGGATGACATGCATAAATTGAGAAAAGCAGGCCTGGAATCGAAGTCTTCCCAGTAGTGAACCAAGGCCGTAGATCAGATGCATCTCAAAGGCTGTCTACTGGTTTCCAGACGACTCCGGTACCATCTGGGACACGGCACATTTGGGTCAGCAGCACATCCAATCCGTCGATATCTGAAAAGTTTGGGCCGTCGATGAAGTCAAGAGGAGGCTGGTCAATGCCGGGCAATGCTATAAGAGAACGGCCGGCCCTGGGAGGCTCATTCTGCGTTGCATTTCCCAGCGGACGAGTGCTGCTCGCAAAGCTGGAGTGGTGAGAGGCTGGCGCCAGACAGACTCCGAGGAGAAGAGCGCAAGCCGGGAAGACGATGGTGTTGGGCGGAGCCATAGGATCAGGATGCCGCCACAGCTGTGTGAGGACAGCGGGCGAGGAGGAGGAGGATCATGACTGTGAAACCGTGTGGAGGAAAGTGAGTGGGAAGCTCACCTGAACTTACCCGGCACTGATGATATTGAAGCTGTTGTTGGTCTCCAAGAGGTTGAAGAAGGGCAGCGCCAACCTCCATAGCCAGGGCTGTGTGTAGAGGTTGGGCGCCATTGCTGGCACCTGCACAGAGACCTTGTCAGTGCCTTCAAGAGAGCGACATGCATAGCTCAAGTGGCAAGTTGGAGTGGAGATGCCCATTGGGGAAGTGGGAAATAGAAGAGCCAACATTCTTGTACTATTGATTGTTAATGTAACTCCTCTCTCTCTCTCTCTCTCTCTCTCTCTCTCTCTCTCTCTCTCCACATGCATCGTCTATCCCTGGTTACTCACTGCTCCCATAACGTGCAATTGATCGGGTTTGGAGTCATGGACATTTATTCATCTTTGGGAGACTTTATTTTGAGCGCTTGGATGAAAATTGTGTGACATTTCTGATTGAGCTTCTCCACGAGTCTGGGTTCATTACAGAGGAATGTCACAGGAGGAGAAGAGGAGTAAGGATTCTACTAAGGAACCATAGCCTACTTTGTCTTTCCTGAGAAATCAAGCCTTTACAACATAGAGAAGTTGCAGGACTTCGAGAATTTGAAAAGCTAACGAGGGTTTGACTCTCTCTCTCTCTCTCTCTCTCTCTCTCTCTCTCTCTCTCTCTCTCTCTCTCTCTCTCCATATGCATTGTCTATCCCTAGTTACTCACTGCTCCCATAATGTGTAATTGATCGGGTTTGGAGCCGTGGACATTTATTCATCTTTGGGAGACTTTATTTTGAGCGCTTGGATGAAACTTGTGTGACATTTCTGATTGAGCTTCTCCACGAGTCTGGGTTCATTACAGAGGAATGCCACAGGAGGAGAAGAGTAAGGAACCATAGCCTACTTTGTCTTTCCTGAAAAATCAAGCCATTACAACCATGGTTACCGCCCGGACCTCCGGACCGGTTTCCAGACACCCCCAAACATTTTGTAGGGGTCCGGTGTCCGGTACTGGACGTCCGGAACCGCCCCCCCCAGCGAAAAATCAAAAAAAAAAAAGGGGCCGCCAAGGACATTTTTCGGGTCCTCGGCTGCCCCAGAAAAATAGTGGGCCGATTTTTGTGAGTGTTCTCGTCCTACCGGACATTCGTTGAAGGCCGGACCAACCACAGTCTGCAGCAGACTCAGTAGGGGTGGCGGGAGGCAGGGGCAGCACTTTGAAACTGGCCGTTTTCGAATCTCGCGGGCTGCGCTTTACGGAAGCCGCCATCTGCTACCTGTCACGTCCCCACTGCAGCCCGGCAGCCATCGACGAGGAAGCCGTCATCGCCCACGAAACAGCCAGCCGCCGCCAACGTCCAAGAAGCAGCCAGCCGCCGGCAACTTCCAGCCCTCGCCGTCGGACCAGCGAGCCGCCGACAACGTCCAAGGAGCAGGTCAGTCTCTCTCTCTCTCTCTCTCTCTCTCTCTCTCTCTCTCTCTCTCTCTCTCTCCCTCCTCCTCCTCCTTTCGTCCTCATGGTCTTGCTCCGCCTCCTCCTTACCTCCTATTCCTCACCCATCTCCTCCACGTGCTCCGACTAATCCGGGTCCTCCTCATCGCCTCGGGCCTCGTACCCCCCCTGCGCGTCCCATGTGGCGTGAACTTCTCTTCTTCTTTTCCCTATCGAACTGCTTGTTTTCATCCACTTCCGTCTCCTCCTCCAGATCTTCGTCCTCCACCTCTACATCGTCATCGTCCTCGTCGTCCTCCTCCTCTGCGTCTTCATCCTACTCCTCTGCCTCCGCGTCTGACTCCTCCTTTTTTTGTTCTTGCCACTTCTTGGCCTTCTTTGGAATCTTTCACATCCCCTTCCTATCACTACGCGAGTTCGTATTTGGAGTAGAAAGGACAAAAACATCGACACGAGAGGGGAAAAAACGCTAGAGCAATTCTGAAAGTAATCAATGTGATGGGTTCGGGGAAACGGGGGGGGAAGAGGGAAAGATGGGGGGATTCGGGGAGCCGGGTAGGGAGTGGGATAGGGGGGATATGAGGTTCGGGGATATAGGGGGAAGAGGGACAGTTGGGAGA